CGCAAGGTTGTCAATGAAAATGCAGCGAAGAGTTAGTCATGAACAAGCACCAAAAAGGAGACACACCACCTGAAAAAACGCCAACACTTCTCCAGTGTCGTTAACTTGGATAAGTGAGGAGAGAGTCAAAGGAGATTGGTTTAGGAATGTTTTGACAAAGAAAAGAACATTTTTAATTAATTTATTTTATACATTCAATCACTATACATTAGCTGTCATAAAACCATGGAAAGGGAAATATTATGTAAAATAAGCAACTTTAAGTATTTTTCAAAAGAAGAGTCTGAGTAGTTCACAATCGCTTCAATATGCAGATTTAGAAGTATTTTTATGTGGGCCAGCCAGGTGGTTTAGTGGTTAAGGTGCTAGACTCCCACGTTGCTGATCACGGTTTGAGTCCTGGATGTAGCGGCTTGAAGCTCACACTGGGCACGTGTGTGTGCGCGCACTCCAAATCCCAAGATGAGAAGGGAAGAGAAGGGACTGTGGCAGGGCCATTCCCCCTGGGGATTATTTCTCACTTTCTGTCTTTCAGTCTCTCCAGCGAGCACATGGGCTCTACAGCAAAAATCAAAGTTACTTTTATGAGAGTAAAATCATTTTTTAGTTTTAAAATTAAAAAAATCTTTTTTAGTTTTAAAAAAAGATTTTGTTTTTGTTCTGTTTCGTTTGCCATAGACACATGTACTCACTGGAGAAAGAGAGAGGAAAAGTAAGAAATTGCTTTTTGCATAGTGACGCATTTTTGCATAGAAAACCGCATCATGACTTTCCTGACAACCTAATATATATTGCATTCTAGGTAGAACTGGAGAAAGAAGAGGACCAGGAGGCATTCTGCAACTTATTAAACTGATAAACTGCTTTAAATGCCTTGAAAACACAGCGAGAGCAAGCATAGTTGAGAATGGGGAAGAGTACTATGACATGAAGACTAACTGGGAAGGAAGCAAAACTTTGGGAGGTGATGAAAAACTGGAAATGAGAAACCAGAATCTAAAAACACGGTCATAGCTAGGAAGAAGGAAAACCGAAGCCTCTCAGGATGGGTATGCCACAATCTCTTCTCTTCCACTCTCCTCTCAGGGTTCTGGGCACGCACACACATGCCAGGCATGAGTTTCAATCCACCTGGTCCGGATACTCAAACCGCAGTCTGCTACAGGGGAGTCCAGAGACTTAGCCACTAGACCACCTGCTGGCCAGATAGCATAATCTTTCTTCATTTGCCCTTTGGTGATATCCCAAGCAAAGTGTACATGACATCTTTGAGATATGAGGTTTCGGCCAGGACTTTACATGAGGTATAATTTTCTTTCTGTCTTGAAAGAAAATTGATTAATATACCTGTTCTGGGGTGCTAGGATTATACTTCTCTCCATTTCCAAGAAAACTAGTTCTATTTCATCCCTACATTTAATAACACAAGTCGTTGCACATCAGTACCCAGGGAAGAACAGTTCATATCGATTTTAGTTTTCATTTAAAATACTGAGATTTAAGCCTTGAAGCACTGTCATCAGAGCTGGATGAAAAGTCTATTACCAGATGGAGAAATAATCTCTCTGTACAAGCAAGCCCTGAAAGAAAAGCCCTCTCATACACACATGTTCATTTGTCACTCCAGATCCCCTTTACTAAGCACCCACCACGTGTGAGGTGCAATAAATGAGTATGCGAAGATGAATAAGGCTGGCTCCTGTGATGAAGGTACAATGATGTTAGTGAGGAAAATAATTAACTTTCACAGTCACTGTGGCTCCTTCCAAGGTCTTGAACCAACTGGGGCAACCCCTGTTATAACTCCACAAGTCTGTAATCTCTGTACTGTTTAGTCTGGTAGAAAGACCTTGTTTGGGGACCAAGAGATAGCATAATGGTTACATCACTAGACTCTCATGTAATTGACCGTGGTTTGAGTCCCGGACCTAGCTGCTTAAAACTTCGGTTGGGCATGTGTGCATGCATGCCCAAGATCCCAAAAAGAGGATAATGGATAGTGGCATGGCCACTCCCCCAGGGGGTGATTTTTTGCTTTCTATCTCTATATCTCTCTCTGTCTCTCTGATGAGTACACACGCCCTATAGCAAAAATCTCTCTCTTATAAAAAAGAAAAGAAAAAGAAAGAAGGAAAGAAAGAAAGAAAGAAAGAAAGAAAGAAAGAAAGAAAGAAAGAAAGAAAGAAAGAAAGACAGACAGACAGACCTTGTTTGG